TGCAGAGGAAGCTCCACTCAAGGGAACCAAGATGTCTTTGCAATATGAAACTAATTCTCCTAATTGAAGAGTGGACCTAGAAACTTCCAGCAGCCACTCATCCTGAAAAAAATGCATACCATGCGTTACTGCATGATAGGAACTTTTGTCTGTTCTCCAAAGTGCCTTCTCTTATATATGCTGATCATTAGAGAGATCTAGAGAACATAGTAAACTAATCCTGGGGGCCGTGACGGCTTCTTCTTGTAACATAGACAGGGAGAGATTCCGTGCCTAAATATATAGTGTCATTTTAAATACTGGGACACTCACACAGGGCTAACAGATTGAGATGGCACCAGGAGGAACTGTACCAGTCTGGAGCATCAGGCAGAGGTCAAGAGGGATTCCCTAAGACATGTAAAATGGCTCTAAATACTTGCATTTAGGCAGCCAGCTTGTCTTACAGACATGTTAGACAACTAAGGAACTACTGCGAGGAGAGCTAGGATGTGAGATACGCTATGCCAGCTACTGCACAGTCACTGCTCGCACGTGTTCTCACCCTGGGACGCAGGTAAGATAGCCATCCCTCCTTCACTCAGGGATAACAAGCTGAAGCTTCAGAACCACGAACAAACCTCAGAGTACTTGCGTGCTGGTGTGCCATGTAAAGGTAGAAAAAAAAGTGTTAGTACAGCAAAAAATCCCACAGGTTTAATTATAATATTATCTAATGTGATTAAATCTGGGCTGTGTTTGCAGGAGAGATATGAAAGCTTTTGGAGTTAAAGTTTGTTGCATTCGACCTGGACTATTCAAAACAGCTTTATCCAATCCAGCAAAGATTATGAAAGAGAAGGAGGTTATTTGGAATAAACTTCCCCCTGATATTAAAATGCAGTATGGAGAGGAGTATTTCCAGAAAGGTGAGGCAATTTTCATACATTTGTGTCAAAAGTGGCAATGCATTTCTTGCTGAGAAAGCCTTGCAGTGTAGCATTCTATCTTCTAATCGTTCTGAATTTTGAAAGACTGTGATGTGAGAAGTTACTCTTCAAACGCATCTGCATCACAATATGACTGTCCACATGAAAGACTTGTTCTGGGAAGATTTATTCAAATCTCAGAAAAACACTAATTATTCATGTTGGCATGAAGCCTTTTGCTAACTCCCAAACAGAAAAAATTTACCTGATGATGTCATTAATGTGCTCAAAGTGTTTTTCTGTCGTTATTGTTTATTTATTTAGTAATCAAAGAGAGATCAATTCCTGTTGCTTCTGCTAGCCCCAGTGGGCAGGAAGCCATTCAGAACCTGTGTGACAGGCACTTGCTAAGCCTGCTTGTCTTTTGATCTTTGGCTTTTCTTGTCGCTCAGATTTCTTCTTTACAATTGTGTTTCACAACTTTCCACAAACAATTTCCTTACTACAAGCGACTCATTTACACCTACAGCATTTCTATTTCCCTTTGCCTCTTCAATTGTTATGCTTATTTTGAGCTACTGTCAATGATGGTTGCGCATGCTCAGACCATTCAGGCCCAAATTTGCCGTGACCGTTCCACTGTTGAGGGCAAATAGACTGGTCTTGGGGTCTGCTATATCACAAGGTCATTATGGAGGGCACTTGGTCCTCAGAAATTCTTGCATAGTGAGAAACAAGAAATGCCAATTCCCAAGTGAAATTGCACAGACCAATGTGGGGGCAAGAGTTAAGAGTCACCTTGCCTGGCTGTCACTAAATGATATTTTTTTTTGAGCTTTACAGATGCAGAAAAGAAACAAAAACTGTCTGAGATCTGTCTTAACGAGGACATCTCACCGGTTGTTCAGTGCATGGAGCATGCCCTAACAAGCCTCCATCCACGTGCCCATTACGTTGTCGGGCAGGATGCTAAGCTGTTTTGGAATCCACTCTCAAAAATGCCAGCAATTATACAAGACTTCCTACTGCTGCAGAACAGAGCAGACCTTGCAGTTTCCCATGCAAAGTAAATATTTGCCAATATATTCCCCATCACAGACCAGGCTGATTCTGTAAGATCTGTCCTCTATATCAAGAAGATACAAGTGTATTCCCTACAAATATTAGAAATTAATCTATTTCTCCAATATCTGCTACCATTTTAAAAAAAAAGGTTATTATTTCATTTTTAACGTGTGAACCAGAAAGAACAAAGGAACTATTAAACTTTGAGAAATTACTGGGATTTTTCAGTTCCTTTAAGGTGCTCAGCTGGAGAACCCCTGAAGGTTCCAGTTTTCACAGAGATCTGCAAGACAAAATTATCTCCAGAAAGTAGGAAATGTGGCTTTGCATCCCTACGGCAGGGAGAGTCTGTGGATTTCGGACAGAGGAGGGAATGGGAACAGGGTCTTCTTCTGAGAGAAGTGAACTCTTGCAAGATAATCTAGGAATGAGAGCGGAAAGGCCTTTTCCTGATGCTGCTTTCTTTAGCAGTCAGCCCTATTCAGTTTTGAGGCCAAGGAAATTGTGCTTACTTTTCCTTGGTACAGTTCTAACTGGACAGAGAGCACAATGAAGTGCCCAAGTCAAGCTGTAGTCACAGCTCTTTGTAAGACTTTTGCAAAGCTTAGGTAAGGCATTTTCCTGGTCTTCTTGCTAAATCCTGAGCATCTCTCAAGTCCAGCTCTACCAGCTCTGTTGTAAAGGATCCATATCCAGAAATACAGACTGTAGATCCAATTACGGGGGCCCGATACCTGCAATGAAGGCAGTAGAAGAGCTAAGGTCAGGAGATTTATGTAAAAAAAAAAATAAAAAATCAGAGCTTGCAAGATTTCAAGTCTGTGAGCTATTTCTTGGCATAAAAATAATCACCCTAGAGCACATTTGAGTTGAATAAGTCTCAACTGGCTACTCTTACTGAGATACTGATGACATTGCCTTAATAGATTTTATTTTAAAACCAAGTTTCTGTCAATTAAAGTGACAGAAGGCCGATCTCTTTGTTTAATCCAAAGGCTACTGCGTAGCTGTTTGGTGAACTAGTAGCTTCCCTGTCTCAATTTGCATGAGCTGTGAGATTTCCAGGCAAGAGATCGCTGCATCTCGGTTGATGAGATTCTTGGCTCCTGCAGAGCTGGGCAGCATCGGGCCCTGGGGACGTGAATCTAGTCCTCTGAACTTAGCACACAGCCCTGGTAGCATATCTACACAGAACCTTTCTAGAAGCCAAAGCTTTTTTTTTTTTTCCTCCAGCAAGATTACTCAGCCAAAAGTGATTAGGGAAACAAAGAGTATGAAATTACACCACCTACTTTGATCTTTATCTTTAGAAATTACATTTTAGCTGGTTTAATTAAGTCCCTGACAGAGCACAAATTTACTGTCAGCTGCTGCAAGACCCTGGCACTGTGAAGGTTAACATTTAAAGGAAAATACAAACAGAATTTGGCACACTAGCTGTAAATATATTATTTAAATTAGAAACACAGGAAAAACATCAGCTGCTCAATGTATTACTGCATGAAGGGCTCAGAGTCTGCTGGCATTTTTTCTCCTGGAATCAGACATATTTGTTACTAAAATGCCAGGGGAAAAAAAAAAAGTGACTTCTGGAAATGAGCAGTGTGCTCTGCTATGGCTATCAAAACCTGTTCTGCTCACAAGACTGTATGAGGCAGATGCATACTTAGATGTGTGCTTCTAGGGACTAGAACTTGCTCAGGAGAAGACTCATGACTTCCACAAGGTCAGAACTGCCTGGGGGGCTGCACCCACAGGACCTAGAACCGACACAGGAAGGTGAACTTCAAAACTTTCACTTATCCAGTGGGAATAACATTAGCTTCTAGCTTTTCACTTGGGAAGCAGATTTCCTTCCCCAGTGTTAGGCTGCCTAAGGAATCCGTGCAAAATCAGTCAAGTGCTGCTTCCTGCAGATGAAAGACCATGTCAGCCCAAGCTCTCTAGCAGAAAGCTACATAGGGAGTTCACATTTTGCTTATGTCATTTCTCTTCTGTTAAGCACGCTTGCATGCTGTGTGTGAGCAAGCTGGAGGATCCTCTGTGAAAAAGGGCACTTAGTGGAAAAATTCCCCATTTCAATGTTTTTTGAGATCCTAAGCAGGACCTGTTCAGCTTTCTACAGTTCAAAAGCAGTTTGCTGAGAAATAAAAATCAGCAGTAGAGAAAGAGAAACTCTTTTTTTGTTTTTCTTTCCTACATTTGTGTGGCAAAGGATAGCTACCTACAATAGCAGCGCTCTTGATCTGACACTGCTGGAGAAACGTTCCCCGGCGATGGGCTGTGCATGCTGGTGGAGTCCTGTTCTGCGGTCATTTCAACGACGCTGCAGAGCCTGTCATTTCAATCAGGCCAGACAGGACTAGGCAGGCCCAGCAGGCATGTCTGCCAGGTTTGGGCTGTAGAAGCCACCAAGTCTGGAGCAAGCTGTGCACGTCGGCTGACTGTCCCGACAGTGTTGGAAGCACAGTAACAACCAACACCACAGCTCGGGCTGGTATGGCACTCGAGTAGCAAAAGAAGTAAGAATTTCCAGGCCCAAGCCAAAACCAGCAGGGAGAGAAACTGGAGGAGGAAAAGCTGTCCATCAAGCAGAGTATAAACTAACATCTGCCTCTTAAAAGAACAGGTCATATCGATAATAACTGGGTCACATGCAGGAGAAAAGGCAGAGGTCTGAACCAATCTTTGTTAAATCAATGGGAAGACTCCTGCAGGTTTCAGACACAGCACACATCAGTCTGTTCCAGCTGGGCGGATTAGTTCTCCCTAATGAGTCTTCACAGTCCCCATGGCTCTGTAGATTACTCTATATAGCCAGCAATGCTTATACAACATAGCTAGGAGAGGCAGGCACGGAGCGTATACAGAAGATTAATACCAAGTAAGTCGCTAAGGTCGCTAAGTCACATCACAAGTCGTTACCGACAGCAGGGAGAGGGGCCCTGCTTGTCAGCCGAGGTACAGCCATCAGAAAGCACCACCAGACACAGAATTTACAGTGAGATTTTTCTGGAAACTACCACCATGCGGGTCTGAGGCACAAGCTTGGCTTGGGCTGTTTCTATGTTCTGACACTGGAAATAACTGGTGAAGGCAACTCATGAGCACCTAGAGGTATAGACTGAGCTTGCAGATGTCTCCACAAAACATGAGTAACAGCACAAAACAAGAATGTGTGTCTATTGTTAGAGCGAGCAGTACCCATTACATGCATTTTCAGAATAGCTAATAGGACAAATAAAGCATTTGTTTTTGAGTGCCAGACAAGGGAACATGCAGTCCCTTCCTTTCTAGACTGATTTTAACAATTGCTGCTTATCTAAGCACCTACAGGGTCTGAATAAAATGCTAACTCAGAAATGTTCTTCCCAGCATCTGGAACCTTTCTCTACTCCTTTATTTTAAATTACTGGGTCAGTCACCTAAGAGTTTACAGGGGTTTATTTCCCTGAGTCTTTTAGCAATGCTGTGGTGGAAATCTGAAGTACAAGCCACACGAGGAAAGATACAATTATGTTGATAAATCAGCCCCCATTGTACCAGACTACATTCATCTCCCTGCAAAATGCTGAGTAGGAGAGTTTGGAGACGTATTTCTTTTAAGGTGATGTGTTAAGGAAGATCTTAAGTTATCTGTTGACCACCAAACTGAATTACCACACTGACATTTTTACACAGCATATGAAAAAGCACTCATTTTCCATGAAACCAAAGTGCAAAACCCTGCATGTGCAGGGCTTGTGCATAGCTCACCTAGAAGTGGGAGATGTGATATGTTTGAGCCTGCATATTTGTTCAATTTGTCAACTGAAGACCAGGGGTTTTGTAGCTCTGTCAAAGTGACCGATTATTAAAGTTTGTACTTCCTAGACTCTGGAGAACTGTTGGGTGACCCATCAGAACACTGTCTGATACACCTAAACCTTCCACTGAGTCCTGTATGAGTGCTTTTTCAGAAACACCGCAGTCCCTACATTTCCCCTTGGCAGTTCTTCCTCAGCATCCCTGCCACATCACTCCAAGCCATTGCTGAGCACTGATTTCTGGAGGTTCACATTGCCAGCACAGGGACAGATGAAGGATTCCAAAGCACACCCAGAACCCAAACTTCACCCCAACCTGAGGTTATTTCGCATTACTACCAAAGCAAATTTCCTGTGGGAGTAAAACAGTAACACATGACCTTCAACACAGTCTATGTGCTTCAGTTTCCTCTAGTGCAGAGAAGCAGAGGGTTGCTATATTTTGCAGTCATCTAAGGGTCTTTAAGGGCTCTTTGTGTAGTCATGCTGCTTTTCTCTAAAATCAATTGCTTTTATAATGGCACTCATCTAGGCATAAGAAGCCAAGTTCTCAATTTACCAGGCAAATATTAAAGTTTTAATGGAAAGTAGAATTTGCCTTTAGCTATTTACTGGCTACATCAGTAATCAGAATTCAATATTTATGAAGATATATCAATACTCTTAAAATATCATGCGGACATTTTCTCTGGAAACACACTCTTTGCCACTCCAGACAGCTATTTCAAAATCGATATGCCCCTGGAAGACCAGTGGCTTTTTTAGTGCTCCACAATTATCAGACAAGAAATAATTTGCATAACATCATACATTCACAGAATTAGACAATTTTCTTGGAAGAAAACTTAACTTGAGACCATTTTCTTTGATTCTGACCCCAGACTCCTTCCAGAAACAATGACATCATCTAGCAGAATAAATACTGCCAGAAGGCTCCATCAGGGCAAAACTCGTAATGGTGCTCAGCACTGAATGACCATGTGATTTTGGGGAAGAACTAGGCAGTTTGGGATTACAGGCTTAGGAACACTGGCTCACGGTTGACAGGGAAGAGAGGAGCAGCAGAGGCTCCACATGCAGTGCTGCCCTCTCAGCTGTGGCCTTTAGAACCCCTTATTTTACACCACTTCTGTGCCAATTATTGCTACCTAAACACAGGGACTAACACGAACCAGAGCAGTCCCAAGTATTTATCTTACAGGAGCCAAGTAGGCATCCTGGCTAGACACTCCAGGATTTTTCCACAAAGTCCAGCTCCAAATTTAACCTGCTTTCCAGTAGTGCAAGCTCACTGCCCGCTCCTTCCTCCCTACAGCATAGCCAAGGAAGGAGAGTGTGATTTACAGCTCCTGTTTCCAACTGAATTAATCTTTTCCCTAAATCTCTAATTATTTCATTTAATTATGTATTGGGAAAAAGTTGAATTTAGCCCTAAAATGATTTATCACAGCACTGGCTCACTGAGCAGCTTGCTGAAGTTTATTGGAATGGGGTTACAAGAGCCTGTCCAGCTTAGCTCCAAATTCTAAATCAGCGGTCAAAGGAAATGACGTTGCCTGGCATGTTGTTGCAAATGGACTGGGGGCATCTATGATCAGCTGTTGCAATATCCTGTTTTCAGGCTTCGTTTTACAGCACAGAAGCCTGAACCAGCCTGAACTCTTTCACACAGTTTGGCACTGTTTCAGAACATACTCTGTGAGTCCTCTCAGAAAATATATGTCACCAACTCAGTGAAACAGTAGAGAGATGATTCCAAAGTGCACACATTCAGGAACACTGCAATCCCTGTCAGACTTAACAGGGACATTCACAGCAAAAAAAGCCAAGTATCTAAGTGAAGTGCCTGAACTAGATGGCCAATGACAAGAGTCTCAAAACAGCAATGAGATGGGCTGCTAAAATAACCAGTGCAGCCCAGGGACCAATCTAACCACAAAAGTCTTGGTGGGAGCCTCTCGGTGGATTGCAGCGGAATGAGAAGCAAACTCTTATCTACATATATTTGTTTACATTTTAAAATCAGAGAGCATTAATCAGTAGCTCAGAAGTCCATATTGATGAGTACTGAGGCACCCAACTATGTAAAATAATATCATTAACTGGCAATAAATGTTGTCACTTATTATCATTTATCAGCTATGTGACTGATTTAATTATTTAATGAGAGTCCAATATTCATTCACTATGAGATTCTGAGATTCCTTCCATTCCTACCTGGTGAGATGACAGCAAAACTTAGATTCAGAATAAACCCAAATCACTGACTCAGTAGGAATAAGAATAACAGACAGGCTGTAGCAACCAGGCCTAATACATCTGGCTTCCTTTAATATTTGTGTTTTAAGGTAGCAAGGAGGTTACACAAAAATCAGCCAAAGGAATGCTTAGCTTTAGACAGCTATGAGTTAAAGAAGAAACACCCCTTCCTCTTAGAGTACTTTTTGGGATGTAAAAATAATCACAAATGCCTTTTTTTTTTTTCCTAAGTATCACTTCATTCTTTGAATACAATCACATTTTAAAGGCCAGATGTCTGCACCTCTATACATATGTAGATAACTGGAACCTAGGTGACTGCTTAGCACCTGTTAAAAAAGTTTAACAGAATGTCTGGAAAATGTTTACCAGCTTTCCCATAAATATTGACTTTAATGAATTATTTGTGTTTAATTCTTGCACAAACCAAAAACACAAATAGAAGAAAAAGTAATCAAAAAAAGTAATGAAGAATTTATGTGGCAAGTACTGTATTCTACATTTCACAGAATCACAGAATCAAAAATTTTTACAGTAAGCAAACAGTATCCTCCTCACCAGACTTAGGAAACCTTGTGTTGCCTCGGTGCTATTTTTTTGGTTTTGAGGGCAACATCTCCATGAATTTCCCCATTTCTTTATACAAACACACTTGCTATACAACATATTCTACTGGGCTGTGTATCAGTGTTAAGCAGGCAACAGAAGGAGACAGAAGACTCAGGCACTGCCCCAAAGTCTACCTTGTCTAAGGTCACTCACCATCACACAACACGAGTCCCACAGCAAATAAGTCATCAGACCCACCACTACAGCTTAGGCTTTTCTGGTTGTTCCTGGGGTCACTCTGCCTCCATGTTACAGATTAGAAGAGCAGTCTGGGTGGCATCATACAGGTGGTCAAAGAAAATTGTCCTTCCCAGAGGAATTCCTCTCACTGGTATTACCACAAATAGTCACCAATGTCCACAAAAAAACCCCAGACACGACTGTGAGAAATGATGCAGTCATTTCTTTCAGTCTAAAATGTCCTGAAAAGAAAGGCTGACTAAAAAAAAAATAGGTCAGCAAAGCTTGGAAACAGTGAAAATCTATTGAAAAGGAAGATAGGGAAGGTTTTGCCAAGGCACGTATTACTCACGGATCCCGATCAGATTGTGCCAAAACTTCCACCCCTGCTCTCCCCCACCTTATTACGGGAATTGTGTCCGAGGAAGCTGGGGGGGCTGGCTGAGCACATTTGCTTCATTGCATTTCTAGATCATTAACCTGTTTGCTTGTAGCTCTCCCTTTCAGACTCACTGCACATAGCAATTTTGGCTTCCATACTGTCTGTTATCATTTACTGGCTCATCAGAGACAGTCACAGAGTGAGAAACCTGAGTGGAAAGCATGTCTTCATAACAGGCTGTGACACCAGGCTTGGAAACTCACTGGCTAAATGGCTTGACAAAAGAGGGTTTTCTGTCATTGCTGCCTGTGCCACAGAAAAAGGAGGCCAAGAGCTACAGTCCTGCTGCTCACTCTCACTGAAGACAGTCAACCTGAACCTGGCTGACTCCAAAAGCATTGCCAGGACTGTGGTGTTTGTGACCAAAGAGACAGCTGGCAAGGGTAAGTGGCAAGGTAATTTCCAAGAAATATGATTCAATATAATCAAATCTGGCCAAACTAAAAGTTCTAGTGCCTCTCCACTCTCCACAGAGGCATTTTTTTTCTTACTGATGAAATGCATTCACTTTTCAGTTCTGTCATACCTCAGTTCAAAGAGATTCTCCTCATTCGCGTTTCAAGAATCTCATTGGGTGTTAAATGGAAACAGAAATAACTTTCTGGACAAAAAAATCAGCCCACCCAATTTAAAAAGGCTGGGGCAGGGCTTCCTCAGCCCTCCTTTAGTAAGCAGCAGAGTGGTTTTGCATGGCTAAGCCCGACTTTTGCAGTGCTCACACCAACACTTGCACTGACTGTAACAGTCAAACACCTGCTGTTTCAACAGATTTTCTTAGAGTTGTTACATACGTGGCTCTCCCTACTGCTATCATACACCTCTGAGCACTTGCCTAAAAGAGGAAGGAGAGTTTGTGCTTGGGTGTGGAGTTAAAAAATAAAACTTCAATGTTGGCAAACGGTGATAAAAATCTCTGTGGCAAATACATTCCACCACAACAATACATGTTTCTTTCCCAGCACCCATAGCTCAGATTAGACATTGTTAAGGGCAGCCAAAGGGGATCACAGCACTGCAACTACCAGCTGTAATGTACAGTTATACCGAATATTCAATAGGCTTGTTAATTACTTAACTAGCTGTAACAGCAAAATACATATATTCTACCAGTGGAATTTCTCCTCAAAGCTTGTAAAACACTGCTGGCCTTATCATGAGGGTACCAGACCACTCTCGAATGCAGTAATTAAGGGAAAGGACAACATAATTACCAGCACTTACCTCTTGCAGCAGGCCCCTGCTCCCAGCTTGTAGAAGGGCTGTGCGTTCCTGGTCAGGGGAACCACTGCTACCGCTGTCGCTTCAGGCTCACAGACTTTATGGAGGCTGAGGGCTGGACTTTCGGCCTCTCCTTTCAGACACAGGCTGTACTTCAGCAAACTCTTGGAAGCGTCACTATTTATCAATTACTTGAGGAACTTTAGATAAGGTAGTAAAGCAGTATTATCAATACACAGAGTTAAGCTAATATTTTCGGATGCTAGTGACTGACTAATTCCGCACATCTGGATCAGACCTTTAGACCCTAATCCAGAAAAATCAGTCTCTCCACTTTTTTGTAGACTATCTGATTTTCTCAAAAACAGAAGTGCATATTAGGAGCTCACATACTTCAGCAGATCTGAATAATAAAACTCAGTATGGTAGCCCGTAGCTCCAACTGAAATATTTTTTCTTTAATACTTTAACCATGCTCTTTTTTAGAGCCTAAGGCCTAAAGGCCTAAGGCCTTCACCAGATTTTGCCAGATATACAGAGTAGATCATACTAAGCGAACTCCAGACACCCACGTTTATCTCACTGAAGCTTTTGCAAACTGTGTGCTTAGTTCCCAATGCTACGTGTGAAACTCCAGAGTAAGATATTGTCACTCATTGAAATAAATGCTTTTGTAAACCTTTTAGGGCTTTTTGGCTTGGTGATCCACGCTGAAGGAGAAGCACCTGTAGCACCCACTGACTGGCTGAGGATTGAAGACTTCCACTCAGTGCTGGATGTTAGTCTGCTGGGACTGATTGAAATCACACTCAACCTTCTGCCACTTCTGAAAAAAGCTGACGGAAGAGTAGTCAACCTAATCAATGCCAAAGGCCTCATGGCTTTTGTAGGGGGTGGCTACGGACTGTCCACATGGGGCATGGAAGCCTTCTCCGACACCTTACGGTGAGTAGCTAAAAATACATGCATGGATCCACGAACAGATTCCAGATGTGCTGAAGGAGGGTGGCTATGTTTGCCCCTCCCATTTTCCCTCTGGAAATCTTGCCTAAAGGGCGAAGGGAAAATAAGAGGATGTTGGTCACTTGTTTGGGATTTCAATCTCCAGTACTATGAACTGACCCAAGAGGAAACTGCACTGGGGAATATTTTCATGTCCTGGACAAATGGCTAGCACGCACCTTTTGGGCATGTGAATCCACTATGTATCTGAAAGTAAATTAACAGTATAGCCTGGGCAAGTTGTATTTAGTTGTACTTACCCACTTACAACCCATTTTATTTTGCTCTAATGCTCCACAATGACCTGAGATGGGCAATTCCAGGCAGCAACCACATTACCAAAGGTACCCATGACTTCAGAAAACTAAGCTGAGCACCTTTCCCTGAAGCCAGTTGTGTTGTACTGCCTTGAGAAGGCTAACACCTAGTCCAGTGAGCCAAGTCTTCACAAGGACTATGAAAGTTAGTTGAAAACTATTAGGAATGTTTATATAAAGAAAGTTATACCCCAAGTAAATATAATAAAAACTAATGGCTAATGTACATGTGGTCCATTCCTTTGCACACTTTGAAACAGAGCTGCCTAAGTCTCTTGAGCTGCCCAGCAAGACTAAGAGACCATTTTCATCCCAAAGGAGTTGTGTTACAACTTAAAATTACATAGAGGGAACCATGTTACCAGAAAACACATTAAATTCCATCGCACTAACTTCTTGTCACTTAACTGTAGCCATTTAACCTTACAGCGGAGAATAAAGTTCTAATCAGTTTTACTTTTTTCTAGGAACTTTAATAATCTGTTCCTGCTGGAAGCTTAAGTGAGGCAACAGTATTTGAAATAGGTAGAAGTTTTAGTTTGTTAATACAATGGGCTAAGATGCAGCTGGCTGCTGCAGCCTTTGCATCAGTCTAACATAAATCACACAGAGAGCTGTGAATCTACCTCGTGGTTTGTTTTTTTTTTCCTCAGAGTTAATTGCCTGCTGTGCTTTTACAGGACAGGTACGTGCTAGGAAGCTAATATGAACATATTAAAATTATCCTGACATTTGAAGATAAGGATCAGTTTTAAATATTCATTTATGTGACATACTTTCAACTTATTTTAATGGTTATGCCATTATTGGGTGGTCAGGGATGGCTACTGTTTGTTGTTTTTTTTCTCTCAGGAGAGAGATGCAGCATTTTGGAATGAAAGTAAGCATTATTGAGCATGATTTCTTTAAGGCAGGAGAAGTTAATTCAGATGTCATTGAGAAACATCTCTTACGACTTTGGAACAGACTGACTCCTGAGACCAGGGACTCCTATGGAGAAAAATACTTTGTTGAATGTAAGTAGAAAAGGAGTGCATGAAAGCTCAGGAGGGATATTATCTATGTATATAAATACCTCAAGAAAGGCTGTAAAGAGCCTGGCTCTTTTCAGTGGTGCCCAGGACCCAAGGCAAACACAGGACGTTCCTGCTG